TCTTCTTCTCAGCCCATGTCTGTGTCTCATTGAAATTATTCTGCTGTTTACATATGACAAGGCTTCTAGCAGCTTGTCATAACATTTCTGACTTATAGTGGCTCACCTAGCCTTCTCACCCTCCTTCTTCCTGGAATCTAACCATAGCTATTTGTATCACTTTTATAGCCTGTTTTGTGTTCTGACTTGCTACATCATATTTTCAAGTAAAGACCCAAACTGAAGAGTACCTGGCAGAAAAACTGTGTACCTGTTCCAAGATCTTAGGCTGCGAACCAGTAAAGGAATCCAGGCCAGTTAACACTGGCCAAAATTCGAAGTGGAAAGGTTATATATCTGAGAGCTGCAGTAGCTGCCTCAGCACTTGTAATAATGACTTGGCTGTACAGGTGAGGCCAGCAGGACACAGGACAGAAACTTGGGGCCAGAATCACAGGCTGTGCAATGGGGAGCCAGCAGGAAAAACAGGGATGTCTTTTTTATAAAATGCATAGAGAAAGAAATAGGGCATTAAGCTGTGCTTTAAATGGCAAAGGCATCTCACCTATTGGCCTCTACTTAGAAAGGAAACAAGGAGAGTGGATTCTGGCATGGTACTGTAGGAATAACAGAGCTATTATAAAAGGACAGGTATTTCATCTTCTAGAAGCAGCTTATGTCAGTCATCTGAGCACACAAGGCCCAGTGGGTAGAGACCCAGAGCCACAGGATCAAGGGCTTCTTGTTCTCTCTGAGCTCGGAGCCCACCTGCATTTGGCACAGGGGATGTGACCTAGCAGCAGACTGCAAATAAGGGTCTCCCACAGCCCTGCCACCCCCCAGCTCTGCCCCGTGCACCCCCTCACCTCTCTCCTCACAGTCTTCCCTCGTGCCAGATGCCACAGCCAACATCCTCTGTGAACAGCAGTCCACTGCGTGCCTGTAAGCTACAGGGAGGAGCTGCATCCCAGGCAGATGGGTAGGAGAACTGGATCTTGAGAGGTCTGTCTCCTGCCAGGGGAGGAAGCACCAGCTCTGGCCTGCTTTGCCTGGAGAAAGGGATGCTTTCAGCACTATGAAGCTTCAGTTTGGGTCACCCTTGGATGCACATAGAGGTGGAGTCACACCAGTACACTGGCATCCATTGGGAGGATGAGGGGGCAAGTGGAGGATTTAAGTTCCATATGACAGTGTAGTTAAATGGAAACCAGGCAACAATTGGTGGGGAGAAATCTGAGGTTTAATGTTGCTTTTGACCTAGTGAAAACAACTGGCTGCTCAGGACATATTTTCTCTATTTTTTCAAACCCTTTCCCCTTTTCCTTCCTGCTGTTTTACTTGCAATGCTCTTCAAGTGCGTGTTTTGACCTATTTCTTCTGCTTATGCCTAATAAAGTACAAGCATGCTTAGTGCCTATTAGATAATGTATTTCTTCATAGGTTTGCAGATCTTATGTATAGACACATGCCCTGAAGGCTTCACTTTGGTTGGCAAATAGCACTTCCTAATGTGCTCACCACTTAAGATTGAGTTTGACTTGCTGGCAGGGAGGTTGTCTCAGCCTACCTGGGTTACCTCTGCAACATATTTTGCCGTCATATGTTTTGTTTGTTTGTGTCCTGTCTCCCTGATGGAGTAGAGGACCACTGCACAGCCTGAGGCAGGAGAAAGCACCCTGCAATTCCCAGAAAAGGCAGTCCCTAGTGACTGTGAAAGCAGTCACAGCCTAATGTAGTTCTTTGGTTGACCCGGTCTTGAAAAAGTGACCTTAAAACTAGATGGGGGTTGCATGTTGTGAGTTCCAAACACTGTGGGTTCTGATTAGATGTGCTACAGTCACTCACCAGATTTTTTTTAAAGCTCCTGGGACAGGCTTTAGCAAGTTGTCTCCTGGCACAGTCTCTGGAAGAAATATCATGCAACCACAAATCAGTCACTGGTGCTTACTACAACTGGGGCAGTAAGTGCAGCCGTGACCAGTCCCCAGTCACCTGGGGCAAGGGGATTGAGAGAAGGTCTACAAAACAGAGTTGTGCTCAGATTTTGGGGCTCAACAGCAGAGATTTGGGCATGTATGGGACTCAAGGCAGCGGTCATGATGTGATGTAAAGATTAGGATCAGACTGTGATGGTAGATAGTAAAGCTAGAAAACAAGTGACGAAGGGATGTTATTGCAGTCTGTATTTCTATAAATGCTTTCATCTCCCAAAGTAATTAATGAACGGTGTCAGGTCTGTTGCATTTTTAGCTCTAAGACCAGAGGGTGCATTGCCTACACAGAGCTTCATTAGTCATCTTGCTTGTTGGATTGCTGGGGAAGAAATCAACTTTCCATTCTCTTTATTCCTTGTTCTCCACAGTTTTGCTTTTCCCACGTTTAACAGTTTTTCCTGTAATTTACTGTAATAAATAAACAAAAAATATAGTCTTTTATTTGTCTTATTACAGTATTTTATTTTATTGTACTTTATTTGTCTTTGATTTTGCAAGCTGGGGTAGAGGCTGCAACATTTTCTTAATTTAGTAGTGACTCAGGAGGTACATGGTTTCTCCTGGAACTAAAATACGAATACATTTTATTTAGATTTATTTTAGTTATTGCTTCACATTTAAAGGTTTGTGTGGCTTTTATGTTTGGTTTGGGGAGAGGTTTGTGTCTCATGAGAGTTGATTTTGAACCAAAAGAGCAAATCTGTTAACTTTTTGGTCACATGCATTGTTTTCATTTGCAGGAACATTCATTTGACTTCCTGCTAGTCATCCATTTCCAAAGCATTTTGAAAGGTTCTTATTGTTGTCAAATCATTTGTGTGCAGTAGACTACATCCTAGTGATTCCTTATACTGTCCTTTTACTTTGTGCCAAATAAAGTCATTGGTGTTGCAGATTAGTTATTAACTTCTTGCTTGTACAGATTATTTGGAAAACACCTAGGAACGAAACTGTTTTGCACTGTATCAATTATTGAAATTGCTATTTGAATCCTTGAATTTAGTTCAACATATTTAAATGACAACAAACATCAGCTTTCCTTCTGTTGCTGGTGTGGGACAGCTACAGTTGCCAGAAGAAACTGAAGTGAAATTACATTACTGCAAATTAGATTATTATATTACTTGACCAATGTGGTGCACTTTATTCCAGATAAAGATGTAGTCAACTATCTTAGATGCAATTTTTTGTATTTTTTACATGCACTGCCTTTAATGAAAGGTAATAAAACTGTGAGTAAACAGGTCCACTGTATCTCCTGTGGACTTTGGGCTGCAATTGTGAATGTTTAGCTCTTCCTAGAGTTAGATGCCTTTTGCAAGACTCCCAGAAAATGACAAGCACATAACTTGCAGCCAGCTATAAAATCAAATGGCCTCCAAGTCATCACACAGCATCACCATAGTAAAGAACATTGCATCTGTCTAACTAGCTTCAGAGGTGCCCTGGTAACTCGAGTTGGCCTTTCTGAGCCAGTGGCTCAGTCCTGCCAACAGTACGGTCACGTTTTTCACCTGTGTCTTTCAGCCTGCATAAAGGTCCATGCTAGACTGTTATCAATACTCAGGTATCAGCTCATGCCCGTGAACTCATGCACTAAAGATGCAGCTGCAACACACACATCCTGTCTGGAACAGAGGCAGGAATAACATCCATTTCCTCAAGCTTTCCTACACTCGTCTGTGGTGAATAGTTCCAACAGCTTGCTCTGCAAAAATGTGGCACATCCTGAGAATAAGTCCATCCTGTATACTAAACAAAGGCAAGGCTTTGCAAAATAAAGCAAGGCCAGAAACAAAATAATACCAGACTATGTAATTTTAGACTGTCCTGAAAGTACAAGCAAGGGGACTGACATGAAGTCACATAATCAGTCTTCTGGTATTTCATGACTTCTAACTCCTTTGTTGTGCAACCTTAGTGATTTTTAAAAACAATTGGTTTTGTGCCTATTATACTTAGGTGAACCAAAGGGTAAGGATTGAAGAGATGAGAGCTAGCAGCAAAAAGGTATAGCAGAGTTAAATAAACTAACTTCAGAAGGCAGGTAATTTACCTATGTACTTGGCGGCAGCTTGGTTTTGTAAAGGCCAGGATGTGAAGAGGGAAGACTTTGGGAACCTTTTGGGAGAAGGGGAAAAGTACAAAGGTATTTTCAGCTCAAGGGAAGACAAATTACAGAGGACTGAACTTTGGTTCTTAGCCCAGAACACACTGAAAGCCACCTCAGCAGACTATAGAGTGGGATAGTCCCTTAAGAATAGACAAAATTTCCAGGCTTTCAATCTGTTATTTTTATTACATGTACTCATAGGCTGTAAAAAACTGCTGCTGAGAATAGACTCCACCTATGGTCATTCCCAGTGATAGCCATCAAAACCAGGAGTGGCTCTTCCAATAAAGGAAGCATCTTATTCTGATACAATCCTAAAAACATACTGTAAGCTCACTGAAGCATCATATAGAAAACTTTCAGATTGGAAGTGATTAGGATTGTAACAACTGAAATAGGAGAGAATAACTAAATTATTAACAACCCCTCAGATTTTTTTTCTAGCATGATACACTCCTCTACATAAAATACAGCATTGATGCAGTACAGAATTCCTAACAAACTGATTTTTTTCATCACTAGCAGAATTGTTTATTAACTTTCCTTTCAAATAGCAAGACCCAGCCCCACGCGGTTGGGTCCTGAGGTATGGAGAGATTTTCCAGCAGCCCCATGACTCGCTGCTGCGTTGATCATAAAGTGTGAGGCTCCATTTTGCTCCTGACAGCAGCTCCACAACGAGATAGTTCTTCCCCTGAAGGCTGTCCCTGGGGCTTGATGGCAGGGAGCAGAAGTGCTCGGGGAGGGAGAATCCTGCCCCTGAACGAGGTACAGTGGCTCTCAGCTTGCTTGGCTCACCCTCCCCCGCACCCCACACCTCGACACGCAGCCGGGGACAATCAGTTTGTTAATTAGATGGTAATTCCCGGAGGCCGAAAAGGGGCTGGTGGGTAGGGCGTTGTTCGCTGCCCCTTGCTTTGCGGGACTCCCACGCCTTCTCAGGCTGTCGGCGGCGAACGGCCCGGGGAGGGAGGAGAAAGAGGAAGAAGCGCATCTGCGGCTCCAGCTAGAAGTTGATCAGAGACCAGAAACTCACTACTGAGGGTAAGAGATTGCAGCGCTTTATCTTTCTTCGCGTCAGTCTCTCCACCCCCTGGAAGGTATTGGTATAAACGGAGGAGGAATTTGAGCAGGCTCGAGCCAAATAATATTTCTGTCTAAACACACAACGTGCTTCCTCCTACGTTTTCGCTTCCAGATGGGGCTCAGCTGAACCAGCCCTCCTCTTCAGCCCAGTCGTAAGCACCAACCGTGTGGGAACCGGGCTGGAGCTGCTAGAGGCTGCAGCAGCAGCCTGGGCGGTCCTGAGCAGAAGCAACGAGCTCTGCCCTCTTCTCCGGGATCATTTAAAGATAAAATACCTGCTCTTTTGACAACCGGTAAGTGAACACCCTTGCTTTATAAAGTAAACCCTTGCACAGGCTGAGAGGGTGTTTGGATGGTGTCTGAACCCATAGGAGTGGGTGCGGTGGAAGTGCTTGTTCCCGAATTTGCAGGACGTAGGATGGTTGTTGTGAGACGTTCGACGCTTGGACAGGAATGGACGTGGGGGGTCTTTCCCAACCTTTACCTTTCCATGCTCTTCGCACTAGGCTCTCGCGTCATTTCAGACGGGAAAGCTTCCTCTTTTAACCTCACGTAGAGTCTATATGTATGCTTCTAATTTTAAAATCTGCTTCAGGTGAATACTGGGTGGCAGCATCTGCCAACAGCATTGCTATTCAATGTAAATTACCGCGTATTCAAAAGGCAGAGCTGCCTATTCCGATACATCAGCGTGTTCCTCGATGAAAGCATTCAAGGAATTAAATTGAATTTCCAGAGGGATGAAGCCTGCCTCTACAAGCCTCCTTTGAAGAGAATACAATTTTAATCGGCTTGAGAGCTGGTGAGATGAGAGATCCCAGACCTTTCCCAGAGATTCCTGGGAACTTTCTGGCTAAAAAATATTAACACCGCGGCGCAGCGGGGAGCCGGCTCCCGGTGGGGATGAGCCCGAAAGAAGTCTAAGCGCCGCCGCCCCCCGCCTTCCCGGCGGCTCTCGGATGCGCTTGATGCCGCGGGCGGGCGGGCGGCCGGGGCCGGAGGGCGAGGCCGGGCTGAGGCGCTGCCCGGGGCCGCATGTGGAGCCAGGAGTCGCCCCCGGCCGGAGCGGGGCCCCCCGGCGGGCGGCGGGGGAGGGTCCGGCGGGCGGCCGGGCGCCTCCGCACGCACAGGTAGGCGGCTCTGGAGGGCCGTGGGTGAGGGGAAAAAGGGCCGCGTTTCCCCGGCTGCTCCCGCCGTGCGCGGGGCGCGGGAGCCGCCCGCCTGTCCCCGGCCTCCCGGAGCAGCCGCGCTGTCAGGCCGGGGCGGCGGGAGGAGCCGCCACGGGGCCCCCCGTGGGTCGCGGCGGGAGGCGAGCCCGGGGGCGGGAGAGTAAGGGGTGGCGGGGCCCGGAGCTCTCGGGGTGGGTAGGTCAGGGCAAGGTTGGGGGAAAGCGGGTACATGCGGGCAGGACAGCCCCGCGGAGGGGGAGCCTCCAGGCGCTGTTGGCGGCGGTCCGTAAGTAAAATTTGAGGGGAGATTCGCGGCTTCTGCTAAGCTGCTTGGGTCGGGTAATCCCACCGTGTTGCCATGGCTGCCGGTCAGGCAAGTTCGGATAAAGGGTTGCTTCTGGTGAGGGTACCCTTGGAAATGCCGAAGGCCTCAGGGAAGGAACAATGGCTCTGTGGGCAGACTCGGCTTTAAGCTATGCAAATCCATTACTTGTAGTTTAGGGAAGAAACAAACCCTGGAAGTTTTATGTTCTCTGGGTTTTTTTTTATTATTTTAAGTATTTGGATTATTATTTGGCAGTCGGGGTGGTGTTTCTATTTTAGGTACAGCAAGCTGTGAGATCAGTCCTGCTGTCCTTTCTCAAATTAAAGTTTACAAGGAGATGAACAGCTGATCTATTGGGATTTGTGGCTGTTGTGTTCTTGTTACCCAACTGAAACTTTCTGTCCAGATTTCTTTCATTTTAGTCTCTTCTTCATCCACCTTATGCTGAGCTATTCTTGCAGACAGTTTGGTTGCAGAACTATTAAAAGGATAAACTTTGTGATGGGATGAGATTACTTGTTTTAACCTGGTAATTCTATTGCAGCTGAAATATGTAAAAATGTTATACATAAAAATATCTCTGGTGGAGGGTGCCATGGTAGTAGACTGGTCACTTCTAAAGTCAAAAAACTGAACTTGAATTTACTCACAGTAAATTAAAGTAAAAGGAAATATGCATGGAGCGGGGCTTCCTACCCATTAACAGGCAACACTCTTATCTGATTAGTCTCAGAAGTGATGTTTATGAAACTAAAACGACTTTCCTTTCATATGTAATGTTGCAGCAGCTGTATCTTTGTTTTTTTCCTAACTACACGAAATAAATCTATGGATCTTTTTTCCCCAACCCGATCCAGTACCTGTTTCTTTAGCACATCTGTCTCTGCTGAACTGAAGCAGTCCATTAAATTACTCTTTAAGCTTACAACTGTTTATTTAAGCAGCAGAATTAAAAGTGGGTAAGCCTCATGGGCTCCCTGAGGGTCATCTTGGCTTTAGACGACCTTTCCCTCTCATGGCATGGGTAAATGATCCTCTGAGATTTCTGGAGGAAAAGTTCTCTCTGGAAGCAGTTGCCAGTTGGGGAAGTGCCCATGGGAGCAGCTGCAGAGTGTACAGTCGCAAGAGTAAAACCTGGAAGCTGGCAGAAAAATCATGAGTCCTGAGTTATAAACAGGTGGGGAAATATGTGTTAGACATGGTAGACAAAGGTGACTGGCAAGACATTATGTTGATGTGCACCGTGTGCCCTGCTAAGTAATGACTTAAACAATTATGAAGGGGAGTTTCCTCCCTGAGGAGGGAAATACAGTGGCTGATTGGTGACGGATCCTATTCGCAGCAGGAAGCGCTTGAGATGCTTCTCCTTCACCACCTTCTCAGACTCTTGATAGCTTAACAGCAGAGACAGTTTTAGAGGATTTGTTATGATTGCTTTCTTCTTTACGTGGTCATTTTTGGATCGTTCTTACCACAGCTTGTTTGTGCCATTAATGTTTTTATCTGAGGCTTGTTTTCTTTGTTAGTTTCTGGGCACACCATGATTAGTGCCTTTCCATAAAGATTTGATCCGTTCTCCGATGACAGGTTTGGAAAAGTTCTCATAAACCCTCTTTGGCTGATGTGTGGTTTTCTGCTTCTTGCGTGTTGCTTCATAGTCTCTGAACCAATATCCAGGATATTTTGGCCTGGAAGAGGATGCAATCAAATGGATCCTTTGAAAATAAAGCTTGTGAGACCACCACGGGTCTCCTCAAGGCAGTCTATACCATTGACTCAAAGGCGATTCTGAGGAAAGGCTCTAATTTTTTTCCTTCACAGTATAGCTTGAGGTGTAGCACAGAATCTTGGTTTGTCTTTGTATGTTAACATTAAGGTCGTTTTACTTATAAGCACAAAAGGTTGTTTTTACTGTGCGTATGATGTGAAGTACTCTGCTGTGGCTGCCTAGTTAAGTGCAGTTTAGGAATGATCTCAAGGTTAGTTGAAATACCTCTTTCTACAGCCATCTTTCCTTACAGATGTTTGCACTATTTTAGCTAAATTGGTTGAAATGTGCATTGTGTGTTGAAGAGGAGTTTAATTTATCAGACTTAATGAAATTTACTTTGTAATTCACTTGAATAATTTGTTCATCAGTTTCTCTAGCTTTATAGAGGAGTTAGTAAATAATATTGGGAAACTCATTTATGAGGTAACTCAATCTACAGGATTTTTTTCATAGTCTCTGTTTTCTACCATCTAATTACTCAAAATACCAGGAAGAGAATAAACCCTCCCTGAACTTCTCTGTTAATCCAGTTTCTTCCAGTTTTGCTGTTTCATGTGATTACTTCTGTATGTATTCATAGCCTTCAAGGGAAATGAAAATAAAGCTACTTTTGTGTATTATTTGTTGTGTGAGCTTCCTAAAGTGTCAAATCTTTCTTTTATCATACTTCTACAGAAGAGCCTCAAACTTCAGCTTTTCTTGATGTGTACTGAGGTTGGGAGGAAATATGATGTGCAGGCTGTTGTTTTCTTTATAAGTCACCTTTCAATAGTGTGTAGAAACTAATCTGCTCTCACTTTGCAGTTCAGTGTATTCATCACTGGTACCAGTAGCTGCTATCTGTACAGAAAGGGTAATGGACAGTGTTAGTGTGGGCTGTGAAGCAAAAAGAGGTAACATGTAGCTTGCACGCAGTGCCACTGCCTCTTGAAAAATGGGTTGAAAAATGCAAGTGCAGAATGTGGTAAAATATTTTGCAACAGTGCTTCTTGCTGCGTTCTGTACCTATCATCTGAAAATACCACGTCCTTTTAAAGTTCATTTTGTTCAGGTGGATTGGCTCTTCAGTGCTCCAGGTTGGTCATCCTTTGGTCTTGAAGGCAGAAGTGTGAAGCCTTGGTATCTGAAGAGAAAATACCCTTTACAGTTCTACCACAGAGTGAGCAAATTGTGTGTCCCCCTGATAATACCCAAAGTTTGTGTGTAGCTGTTGTGTGTTACTTCTTCTCCTGGCCCCTGCAGCAGCATGGTGTGCTAGAGCTGTTCTTTACATTCCAGTGTAAGTGGGGAGTCAGGAGAGGCAAGGCAAGAACTTGAATACCCTCCATTTGCCTTGGCTGAGAAGGAAGGCTGGAAAACTTCAGGAGCCACAAAGCTGATCCTCCCTCCTGTTAGGAGGGCAGGAATGGAGCAACCATGGAACTGGTTTTAAGAGCAACAGGAATTAAATGAAGACCAGTCTTAATCATTAAAGCTCTTAACATCTGTTGATTTCAAGTGCAGGTATCCATTCCCCTGGCAGGAATATTGCTTTTTTTTGGGCCACTAGCCAGTAGGAAGCCTTATTTGTGAGGTATGTGGCTAGCAGTCTTAGATATCCACAGACTCTTCAACTCACTTTGTAAAGAATGGTTTCTAGCCCTTGTGGGTACAGGTTGTAAACACTACAATAAGGATTAGCTGCTGCAGAGCTCAGAAAAGTTCTTTGTTAGGCTGGATCTGCAGACTGACCTAGCACAACAGTATCTAGACACTGCTTTCTGCTCCTGCTCTTCAGGGTCCTAGGCCGACAGTGAAATGAGAACGGTGTGAGGGGCATGTCATCGGCTTACCCAGAACCTTCGGAGGGGAAGTACACCTATGTGATGGCCATTTAATGGTACAAAACATGCATGTGTTAAATACAAATGAAATCATATGTGGGATGGGGGAGAAGTCCCTTTCCCAGGATAAGAAAGGAGTTGAAGTTATGTTTTTGCCATTAGCTTTTTTCTACCCCCCCCTTGGTTAATGTAAGTCCCTCGTGGG